TTCAGTACACTCTTTATAGAATATTAACAACATGTACATGTGAACTAAAATAGTATCATACAAAGCACTTAATCCAAAAGACATCCACAGATGACTTGCTCTTTTGGCAGCCTTCACTTTTCTTGATTTCTATTTTGGTGGCTGGGCCTATATTCTGTTAAAATTTGTTGGGGCAGCTGATGAATAAACTTACCTAGTGTCCCCTTTATTCTCCATTTTGGTGTTCCTTGTACTCTCAAGAAGGGATTCTGGAGGCAGCTGCTGTTTACTTGCCTGTTGTAAGCAAGCACACATGGCTATAGTGTGATTGACTAGAGTAGAAACCAGCTTTTTCCCAGCTCAAGTGTTGCTTATTGTTCTGATTACTACATATACATATACTTCCTGCAATCTAATATTAAAAACATGGGTTTCTCCAGCTACCCTTCACTATTATCCCAATGCCAATGCTACTATATATCCAGCTAGACAAAAGATAAAGGGGGAAGGGAAGATGGACAAGAATGAAAATACATTATTTAAACGTGCTTCTTTTTAGAAGCTATGTTAACTGAGATCAGCTTGTACTAGAATTCATCACCCGATAGGTTTTATTTCATTGCAGAATGTTTTTGTGCATACTGTAAAGATCATATGTATTAAGCTTTTTTAAGGGGATGGATTCCAATAGCTTAGATAGCAACTTTTAATAGATTCACCACCCCACTCACAAAAAGCTCCCTATCTGTCACAATGCCCCAGAATTTTTTGCAGGCGAAGTTTTAAATCCAACTTTACATTAAATAGTAGTCGCTGTCATTGAAGTGGTTGTGCTACTTCCCACAATTGGTTCTTATTCAGCCACCTCTTCTAATAGATTCCTGTTGAACTACAGTCTTTAAGCACAGTAGTTTTACAAAAATTGTAATGCTTATAGGACCTGCTATATAAGGCAGTTCCAGCTGGCAGTGCATAGTTCTGGATCAGTGATCTGTAGTTCCTCTCTTCTCCCAAACAGGTCAGAAATGGCATAACGGAAAGTTTATTGACCAATCTCCAGTTTCCTCTTGTGTGCTGTTCTCCCATGGGAAATCTGCCTTCCCTGTTCAGCCCAGTCATCCTCTTTGTAGGTGCATTTATAATTCATACAGCATTTGAAAATATATATCCTTTTTACACTGATCAGATGAAATTGTCTTCAAACTTAAAGTGTAACTTGGGCACTGTTCCATTATCTTGGTGGAGGCCAAAAGGGGGCACTAGAGAAAGACCCCCCCCCCCCCGGAAAAAGAGAGAAGTTGTTTCTTTGCCTATGGCTATGCAAGGGCAGCCAGACAGTTCCTGGGGGTTCCCTCACAGCCAATTAGCAACCAGAAGGAGAAAGTTGCAAAGGAGCCAAAGGTTGCCTAAGGAGTTGCAAGATGCCTGGAGGATTCCATCAACTCTATGAAGGAGGAAACTAATGTTAAAAGAGCAGTGGAAGAACAGTATTCGGTACCACTCTTGATGTTTCTTGCCCCATCAACACCTGATACTGTCAAATGAAAAGTTTGAAAAAATATAATTCTAGATTCCCATTTTCTGTATTTCTCAGTCAGCATGGAAAATGTACTTGTTCTGGGAGCTGTTATCCAATGTAACTATTCTTAGCTCTATCACATAGACAAATTTGCTGATATAAAGCCTGATTTATTTTTACTTTATTTTATTTATTTATTTATTTATTTATTTTTGAGCTGGTGGATGGGCAGACTCGCTGCTCTACAGAGCAGTTTGAACTTACCGTATTTTCCGGCATACAAGGTGACTGGGGGTATAAAATGACCCCCAACTTTTCAACACAAAATACAGAGTCAGGGATATACTCACTGTTCAAGATGACTCCACATTCCATGAGGACCAGCTGGGGGTGATGGCCTGCTGGGCTGTCCCCACAGCCCCCACCGCTCTACCCACTTTACTTTCAAGGCCCTCCTCTGCCCCACCGTTCACCTCCTCCGAAGGCCACTGGGCTCACCTTAGGCCAAGGAAGCACCTCCGGAAGATGACTCCTAGCAGCCCTGGGTGGCGGCGTGCCTGGGGTGTGCTTACTGAGGCATTCTGGTAGCCATAGGAGTCAGGGAACCACGGTGCTGCTGAGAGTCATCCGAAGGTGCTTCTTTGGACCTAGACGAGCCCAGTGGCCTTCAAAGTAGGTGAGCATCGGGGGCAGAGGAGAGCCATGAAAGAAGAGCTGGGAGACCAGCAAGGGCTGCGGGAACAGCCCAGCGGGCGATCACCCGGGGCCAGTCTCCATGGCAATACAGCCTGCCACTCCTCCCCGTGCCCTCCCTCCGCCTTCCTCCTCCTCCACCCTCCTCCCTCCCTCCTAAGATAGTTGTATTTTTTTATTTTAATTATTATTATTTTAATTTTATACCCAGCGTACTAGATGACCTCTGATTTTTCATAAGATTTTCCAGGCCTAAAAAGTCGTCTAGTACGCTGGAAAATATGGTAACTTTCCACATCAGTCCTAGGGATAAGATCCATATGAAACAGAATGCAAAGGGAAGTTGCTGTCAATTGTTAGGCCGCAACATGTTTGATCCAAGTTATGGTACCGTTCCATTATCTGGGCAGGAGCCACAAGGGGGTGCTAGAAAAAGAACGATAGTCCATTTTATGTGGGTGGAGGGTGGGTTGAAGGAATAAAATCATTTCCCCCTGTTTTCCTGTTAGCCACCCCACCTATATCCTCATTGTGGAAACAACCGTTTATGATATGGGAGGGGGGGTGGAAGGGGCATAAACAATGAAAAAGAGGGAAAATGGTTTCCTCCTGTAACTCCCCCCCCCCTCTTAAAATGGACTCTCCTCTCCCTCCCCATATGCACATGGGCAACGAGATGGCTCCCAGGCACACCCTCAGGACCGAACGGTAGCTGGAAGTTTAACTAGACCGAGGAGCTTCTTGCACATCCAGGAGAGGAGATGAAATCACAACCTCACACACACCCCATGATCCATCTACTGGATCTCAATCACAGGCAGCAATAGCTTTTAATCCACTCCAGTTAACACATAAACTCAAGGAGACTCTCTGAAGAGGAAAAAGACTGATTCTCGATTTGCAAAACTGGCTTTGTAGTTTTCTACAAGATGTAACTGTTGTTGTGCGGGTAGGTGCATATAATTTGAAAGGAGCTATTAGTAGTTTACCAAAAAGTCCATGTGATCCATTTAGGAATGCATCCAAGAAGCACATTTTTTTTTCTGAAATAATTGTCAGAAATTCATATTGAATATCCCTTATCTGAAATGCTTGGGACTAGAAGTACTTAGAATTCTGGATTGGGGGTGGTGGAATACCTGTATTTGCTTAGATATACATAATGAGATATCTTGGAAATGGTATCCAAATCTAAACATAAAATGTATTTATTTGCAATATATACCTGAGACCATCAAAAGGCAGAACTAACACTCTCTCAGCCACGCATATGGGAATTTCAGATATTGGAGCATTTAGGATTTCGGAATTTCAGATAAGTTTAAGCTGCATGTGTGTGTGTGTGTGTGTGTGTGTGTGCGTGCGCGTGCGCGCGCGTGCACGTGTGAATGCTCAGATATGTGTAGATGTTTGCATTATAGTCACCAAAAAACCAATTTCCCAACCTTAGAAGCACTTGAAGAGACCACAAGGGCCAGCCTGTTCAACCTCTTGCCATGCAGGAATACACAATCAAAGTACTTTTTACTTATACGTTGTTATGCGCTTTATGTCAATTCAGATTTATGGGGACTTTATTCTGGGGTTTCATGACAAAATGTATTAATGGTAAGCTTGCCATTCTTTAGGCTGAGAGGATTTCTAAAAGTCACCCAATGGGTTTCCATGGCTTAGTGGAAAATTCAAGTCCTGGTCTCCTAGAGTCCTACCCCAACACTCAAATCACAACACCCCATTGACTCTTATCTTTTGAAATATCTGGTCTATATTTGTATATTCTCTCTCTCTCTCTCAGTTTGTTTGTGATCCTTTTCATTGTATAACAAATCAGGAGGGTCTATAGCCATCACTGAAGATGAATATACCAGAAAGAGTTATAAAAGTAGTAATAAAAATATCTCCTTGTAGGAAGGTCATCCTACTCCTTCATTGTTTGTTTGTATAATGAGCAGACTCATAAAGGGTATCTCTATCCTCAGAGTGGGGACAAAAGGCACTCTGGTTCCTAGAAGAACTGACTGCATAATCTCCAATAGAAAAGAGGGGAAAAATTGTCCCGAATCTATTGCTTCAACAGTAAATTGAAACCTCATGAGTTCCTTGCATTCATGATCATCACATTGGCTCTTTCATTGCAAGCAATTGAATGTACGGACAATCTGTGGGTTAATGGGAACTTCCCAAACCAAAGAATAGCTCCAGACTCCCCAGGAGATGCTTTTATGGGAAGCACTCAGTCTAGGAGGGACTTGGCTGCAGCTCAGCTAATGTGTGATTCTAGGCTTTAACCACCAGATTTGTTCTTAACAGCTAATGGAAAGGCTCTAGCTTCTGTGGGAGGTAGTATGCCTTGCATTTAAGAAGTCTGAGATTTCAACTAAGCCTCTAGTATCTGTGATAGGGCTGAGAAAGCCCTCCATTCAAATTCTGGAGATGCATTGCCAGTCGGTATAGCTAACATGGTAAAGTGGTTTGAGCATTGGGCTATGACTCCAGAGACCATTCTACATTTGGCCATAGAAACACACTGAGTGAGCAGGTCACATGCTAAGTCCCAGAAACCCCTGCAATAGGTTCACCTTAAAATCACCATAATTCAGAAATGACTTGAAGGCACACAACAACAACATAGACAATTGATAATGAGCATTAGATTTGAGTAAATAGGGTAATATTGCATTCCCCTACTTGGCTTGTGCAGCACATTCCATCACATTGTCTTCTACCTTTCAAACAAGGCCAAGCATTCAGAAAGGAGTGAGACTATATGCCAGTATACAACAGACTTTCCTCTTCTTATCTCTTGCAGGCACATTTCTTTCAAAAGGCACTTACCCCGGCAGATGCACGTTTCCAGCGTGGACTATGGCACAGAACTACCACTCGCAGCCGAGCAGCCAACTTGCATTGGTCGGATCAAACCAGAGCTGTACAAACAGAAATCTGTGGACTCTGAGGATCCAAAGAAAGAGGCGGAAAAAACTTGTGGAAAAATAAATTTTGCTTTGAAATATGACTATGAGATTGAGACATTGATTGTGAGGATCATCAAGGCTTTTGACTTGCCGGCCAAGGACCTCTGTGGCAGTTCGGACCCTTATGTCAAGATCTACCTCTTGCCAGACAGGAAGCGCAAATTCCAAACGCGTGTACATAGGAAAACTCTCAATCCCACCTTTGATGAGTCCTTTCAGTTTCCTGTTCCATATGAAGAGCTGGCTGACAGGAAGCTCCACCTTAGCGTCTTTGACTTTGACAGGTTCTCCCGGCATGACATGATTGGGGAAGTGATCTTAGAGAACCTCTTTGAGGCTTCAGATCTTTCTCGGGAAACCTCCATCTGGAAGGATATTCAGTATGCCACAACTGTGAGTATTTGCTTTTGCCATTAGTTTGTGGAAGGAACTGCAGGCTGCTCCTGTGAACAGTTTGAAGCAAGTCAATGGGTTGATAATGCAAGCCATGTTAGATATTGAAGGGAGAGATTTGGCATAGGTAGACCAGTAGGTCATCTTCTTTTAGAGGTTTTCAGTATACTTCCATTTCCTTATACTACTAGCAAGGAGATCCTGTACCCTCCAACTGTCTTGATTTGGCAAAGACAGTCCCAATAAGTCCTCAGTCATCCCATTTTTTCAGATACTTAAAAATGTCGCAGTTTCTCTCTCCCATTTTCCCTCTTTGTCCTCAGCTTACTTCATTTGCTGCATTCAATATGCAAAAGTAATCTGCAATCAATTCATTCAGCAGGAAGGAGAGGAAAGGAGGCAGACAGTAGATTTAGACCACAGCAAAGTGCTATATTCTCCTAACTTCTGTATTCTTTCTCATTAATAACTTTTATCATATTCCCCACATTATGACATTACTTGGCAAGGCATGCCCTTGTTTTCATTTATGAAATGTTTGTGGATATGAGATACACTTTCTTTGGGGCTGGGCAGCTGGAGCATAAAACAATTTTACTGCTATGGCAGTTGGCACAGTTTTATTTTGTGTTTATAAGGCTGAATCTACACTGTCATATAATTCATCTTCAGAATGCAGATTAACTGCATTGAACTGGATTGTATGACAGTGGAGACGCATTCTGAATCTGCAATCTGAAATTATATGTCAATGTAGATCCAGCCTTAGTGTCTTTGACTTTAATGAGTTTTCCTGAAGTCACATATTCACTTGTGGTTTGAATTCCTCAGCCTTTTTGGTAAGTTTTTATTGATTACTTCCATTTTTGTATTGCAAAGAGGAAGAGAACCAGTGTTGTGTCATGGTTAGAGCAGTGGGCTACAACTTTGGAGACCAGGCTTTAAATCTCTGCTCAGCCACAGAACCAAACTGGGCAAGTGACACAATTTTGGCCTCAGAGGAAAGCAAAGCAAGCCCCCCCCCCAACATATCTTGTGATATTTTCACCTTAGAGTTACCATAAGTCAGAGACAACTTGAAGGCATATATGTACAACAATTGTGGAGGGCAGAGAAGTGGGGTTTTCTTGCATAATGCTACGGCAAACAGCATTTTTGTCAATTTGTCTAATTTTTGTCCCTCCAGTATGAAATGGTGAGGATTGTGATGCCTGGAGTTGATCTGGAGCCATGTGCATTTCATGCACACTTACTTTCCCTTGTTTTTCTTTCTTTTCTTTTTTTTAACCTCTTGATTGGCATATTGCCAACCCCATCACTGGCTCTTGAGCTTGTGTCTGTCCTTTATAATAGCATCATAATTGTTCATGTTACGATAATGCAGCCTCCAATTTTTGAAATGGTAATGCGTTTTATGATAATGCAAGCCGGGTTGATAATTTAGGGTGAGTTATATAGATCCAGCTTCTATTACATTGTAAAGAAGGATGAAAGTAGTCTGTTTTGTTGTAAAAGCCTTTTTTATAATTCTATTCTCTAAGGAGGCCTAGGATCTCTTCACATGGGCTAAAAATTGGCTACGGCAATTGGTGTTTTTTTTTTTGTTTGTTTTGTTTTTGCTGTTTCGTCACAGAGCCTGCCAGCTCCCATCACACACTGGAAAAGTACTTCCAGAGCAGCTCCATGGTGAAAGTGCCAAAAAAAAAAATCCTACCAAGAACTATGGGTTGAGCTGGCTTCCTGAGGCTCCCATCCCACCGCCCCCCCCCCCTCCGTGTGATGAGATAGGAGAGAAGTCAGGACGGTGCAGGGCATGGGGTGATAGGTTCCCATGCCCCCTGGCCATGCACCGCCGGGATCACCAGAATCCATGAAAATACTCAGTGATTCCAGAGTGACATGTGAGGAGGTCCCTAGACTAGTATGTTTTAAAAGAGACTGGCCATATCATGTCATCTATGGTTTTTTCTTCCTTGTAAATAATTTCCCTCATTCCTTTAAGTTTGAAACACTGGATAAACTCTTCCATGATAACCTTAGATTCCAGGTTTCACCTGATACCATATAATGTGATAAAAGTTGGCTCTAATAACTTGTCCTGAATTATCAACCTGTCTGAAACAATGCACAGACATCTTATAGACCAGTGGTTCTCAACCTGGGTTCCCCAGATGTTTTTGGTCTACCACTCCCAGCAATTCCAGTCAGTTTACCAGCTGTTAAGATTTCTGGGAGTTGAAGGCCAAAAACACCTGGGGACCGCAGTTTGAGAACAATCATTTTGGCACCACATCCTCTGATGGTGTCACCCAACGCAGTCTGCACCCCTTGCACCCCCAAGTGACGCTACCATTCTCCCCACTCCAAGCACACCCAAGGGTTCACTGCACAGGATTACTGAAGCAGGTAGCAATTTCAAAGCACCGTTTTCAGGTATCACAAAAAAGTTGTTTGATTTCAGTTGCATTTTTATTGATGATAGGTAGAAGTTGATAGCAAGTTCTTCTAAATCATGCAGCAGAATAATTGTTCCAGGTCCTGTGTGCATGGACTAGGCAGTGCACTTCATACAACAAAATATATAGGGCCAAACCTGGATATGCAGGCATTATAGTTTTTGGCTAAAATTATGCAAGGGACCAAGAACGGTGTGGGAAACTGTGGAAGAGGAAGGGTTAATAATAAGGACCGAGGAAAGTGTGAGCTTGAACGTTTTTTTTTTTCAAACTATAATTCTCATTATTCTTTAACCTGAGAGATTATGGGAACTGAAATCATAGAAAGGAACTTTCCCATGGTCTGTCGAAGGCAATAATTAGAGTTGGATTTTAAAAACCTGGATTTTAAGTAAAGCTGCAAATTCATATGTTCCATGCATTGCTATATTTTTTAAAATGCTGAAGCTGCCAGATTTTGTATTATCTGCTATTTTTCAGTTCCCTGTAGCTATTTAAATTCTTAAATCCCCCTGCTGATAGTAAGAAAACCACAGTTGAAGCAGGCCAGTATTTAATAAGAATTCCCCTCTCTTTTCCATATTATTTTGATTTGCTGATTCAGCTATTCATGTTTATATATCAAAATAGATTGGATCAGATCTAGGGATCCTTTCACAATTTTTGCACTTTGATTGTGTTTTAGTTGCCATGGTTTTGAGGTTTATAATTTGGTAGAATCATAGAATCATAGAATCAAAGAGTTGGAAGAGACCTCATGGGCCATCCAGTCCAACCCCCTGCCAAGAAGCAGGAATATTGCATTCAAATCACCCTGACAGATGGCCATCCAGCCCCTGCTTAAAAGCTTCCAAAGAAGGAGCCTCCACCACACTCCGGGGCAGAGAGTTCCACTGCTGAACGGCTCTCACAGTCAGGAAGTTCTTCCTCATGTTCAGATGGAATCTCCTCTCTTGTAGTTTGAAGCCATTGTTCCACGTCCTAGTCTCCAAGGAAGCAGAAAACAAGCTTGCTCCTTCCTCCCTGTGGCTTCCTCTCACATATTTATACATGGCTATCATATCTCCTCTCAGCCTTCTCTTCTTCAGGCTAAACATGCCCAGCTCCTTAAGCCGCTCCTCATAGGGCTTGTTCTCCAGACCCTTGATCATTTTAGTCGCCCTCCTCTGGACACATTCCAGCTTGTCAAGATCTCTCTTGAATTGTGGTGCCCAGAATTGGACACAATATTCCAGGTGTGGTCTAACCAAAGCAGAATAGAGGGGTAGCATTACTTCCCTAGATCTAGACACTATGCTCCTATTGATGCAGGCCAAAATCCCATTGGCCTTTTTTGCCACATCACATTGTTGGCTCATGTTTAACTTGTTGTCCACGAGGACTCCAAGATCTTTTTCACACGTACTGCTCTCGAGCCAGGCATCCCCCATTCTGTATCTTTGCATTTCGTTTTTCCTGCCAAAGTGGAGTATCTTGCATTTGTCACTGTTGAACTTCATTTTGTTAGTTTTGGCCCATCTCTCTAATCTGTCAAAATCGTTTTGAATCCTGCTCCTGTCCTCTGGAGTATTGGCTATCCCTCCCAATTTGGTGTCGTCTGCAAACTTGATGATCCTGCCTTCTAACCCTTCATCTAAGTCATTAATAAAGATGTTGAACACGACCGGGCCCAGGACGGAACCCTGCGGCACTCCGCTCGTCACTTCTTTCCAGGATGAAGAGGAAGCATTGGTGAGCACCCTCTGGGTTCGTCCATTTAACCAATTACAGATCTACCTCACCGTAGTTTTGCCTAGCCCACATTGGACTAGTTTCCTTGCCAGAAGGTCATGGGGGACCTTGTCGAAGGCCTTACTGAAATCCAGGTACGTTACATCCACGGCATTCCCCGCATCTACCCAGCTTGTAACTCTATCGGTGAGGCACTGGATTTCTCTGTCAGAGAATCTTAAATACTCCTCCCTAAACCACAAATCCCAGGCTTCACAGGAATATAGTGTCTAATGTGGAAGGCCGCAGAATTATGCAGTTTCATGCCTAGATTAAGCTCACTGAAATAAATGGGATTTAAATTAATGTTTGCGTGAGATTAGATGTATGGTGCATGACTACATTTAGATACAATCTTACCTTTTTGAGAATCTTTTCTTCACATCCATGTATTAATCTAGGACTGTACCAAGACATGCATTGAATATAGGAAGTCCCAGAGTTACAAACATCTGACTTACAAATGACTCATAGTTAAGAACAGAGCTGAAACAACAGGAAGTGAGAGAAATCTATTCCTCAGAAGGGAAATGCACTCCTGGAAGAGTTATCATGAGAAAAAGGTGTCTCAACTGAAGCTTTATCACCAATCTTTGTTTCCACAACGAGCCAATTTTTTCAAAATCCAATTAACACAGGGGCAGAAAGTAAGGTGAAATCTTCTGAACAGAGGAATAGACAGCAAAATAAATGCTACATGGTGTTAACTCTTCCCTATGCTATCCAAAGCTTATATAGATAAAAAATTATCTGTTCCAACTTACAAACAAATTC